ATTCTAAATGCATTTTTTACAATAGTATCATTATCATTGCTTAGAAGCCATAACTAGTCGATTTACTATGATCTGCCAGTCGGCTACCTTCTTTTACTGATATCGTAGAAGTCACTCTTAGAGATGTTCAAATAAAACGAAATAATGATAAACAATAATGAATGAAATGCATGTTTATCAATAATACATCGGCGATAGCACTTAACACATTTATCAAAATGATCATATTGACAATGTTGTCGATAATGATTAAAAATACCAGCATAATATCTATCATTTGGTGGCAATGCAATTGGATCAAATGGACCTAAAAGTAGAATAAAACACATAAATTTTAAAACAAGATTGCGACGCTTAATACCATCAGGTTTTGGTGGTTCATCTTTAATTGGGTTTCTTAAATAAATATCAACATTATAATAGTGAGTAATTGGAGCCCCAAAAACTCTAATGCCATTTCTGTTTTTGGCCATGTATCCCACCAAGTCTTCTTGTGCAAATGTGTTGAACATTGATAAGCATCAATGACGATCATAATTAGTTGGATAATGTTGATGAAGATGTAAAACAAAATTTATATGACGCTGAAAATATATGTAATTTACGGCTGTAATTACTGTTAATTAAGTGTTGGTTTGATATGGGAATAAATTTAGTAGTAGATGTGATAATGTATTTTTTGGTGTTTTATTTGAACATCTCTAAGAGTGACTTCTACGATATCAGTAAAAAAAGGTAGCCGACTGGCAGATCATAGTAAATCGACTAGTTATGGCTTCTAAGCAATGATAATGATACTATTGTAAAAAATGCATTTAGAATGCCCTGTTCTTCTTTTGAATGTAGGCTTTAGCAGTTCACAAATCTCTTCTATTTTATCCGGTAATGTGATGAATCGTTTTTACTTATTCCGAAGAACGAAAAAACAACTGGAGAAGAGCAAAGCGAACATATCTATTGGTGTGTTGAACAATGGAATAATAACAACGATGTGCTATTTTTTAACTTCTTCATGGGTTAAATTGGAAGCTGTAAAATTACCATTTTTTCTTTCTAAACTGGAGTCACTCAAGTATTATGTAACCAACATTAGGACGTCGCTGATAAGGACTACAGATGATTACGCGAAGGGCAGAGGTTGAAGGAATCGACTAATTGTGTATTTATGTCAGAAGAGAAACTGTCACACCTGTCGATATCAGAGAAGAGAGCAATCTTCCTCACCTTCCGAGAAGTCTTTCTAATTCCGTCGTCATTTATTGCTTGTCTGATGTTTAACTCTTTCAACAGCGCTTTTGCTCCCAAAGGCTTCCTTTTCGAGAAACTACGGGCAAGATATTGTGAAAAAATTTTCTATTCGCTAAAAATTAGGGAAACTTTTTAATTTTGAACTGTTTTGTTAGATTTTCTCAATTTGTAGGGGACGCTTCGAAGTATATGTCCTGAAGTTTTTTCGGCTTGCTGACACTATTTGGCTGAGAAAAAAATTAATTACTTAAAAAATGGATGTTGAATTTTTGAACACAGGGCTACTATTAAAAGATTTCCTCGTCATTCCTCTGTCACCATAAAATTGAAGATAGCCTTTACAGTAGTCCGCGGAATTCTCTATCATATGAGATATTGCTCGAATTTTTCCGTTGAAACGTTATTTTACAAGTATGAGTGTATAGGAGTAGAGTGATGTTAATTAACTGTCAGTATCAATAATTAGTTATTAATAGGAAGGAAAGAGCAAAAACTTTTTCTTTCTTTTTCGTGGTAAATATTCTCCCCACATTTCTTTGTCGATCTAGACAAAAAACAAACTTTTATGACGAACACAGAAGGGACAAGACATTTTTTAATAGTAGCCGTGTGCTCAAGAACTTAACATTTTTTAAGTAATTAAGTTTTTTCTCAGTCAAGTAATGTCAGTAAGCTGAAACAACTTCAGGACATATACTTCGAAGTGTCCTCTACAAACTAGGAAATCTTGAAGAAAATCTAAATGACAACTCCCTTAAGAAAGTGCTTTCGAGAAAAGTATTGATGAACCTTAACAAATGCTTCAATTTCCTCTATTCTTGTATAGCTCCATTTCAAACATATCATCAAAATCGACTTTCTCACGCAACAGCTAATCGAAAACGTTTTCGTCAACCTTTGCATATTAGAACCAATGATGAGTTTGATCAGGAATATGAAGTTTATACGGATGAAGGTAATGACTAATATTTAACGCATTAGAACGATGATAATGATCAACAAGAAGAACAACAAGAAAATGATGGTAGTGACGAGCTAGAAGACGCGCAACAAATTGGATAAGAACTACAAGAAGAAATGGAAGAACATGGTAAAATGATAACATTAAATTATGAATAATTTATCGGTATAAATACGCTTTATTTTTAGAGCAACGTCAAAAATTATCATCAAAACATGGGGTAGTCAATGATCTCATATTACGAAATGTAGATTCGCATGACTGAGAATTAAATAAGTATATACTTAATGATTCTTTTAGTAGTTTTTTTGTTGAATTAATGATATTACTTAAAGTAAATTGTGTGCATTAATTTCAACTGAGAAGTATGCTGTTTTAGTTATAAAATCTTTGTCTATACTATTATTATTGTTTTCATATTTTTTGTTTTTGGTGATCTATTAGCAAATGTTTTGTTTTTAAGCCACGGCCACCATAATCGACAAAAGAATACAACAAGCCATGCTGAATGCAAACGTTCTGTAACTGTTGCTGATTTTTTCAATATAAGCAACTATTAACAATTTAATGGATGAAGATAAACAAATGTTCCTGATGTATTGGGATTACCATCCACAATATTTAACAAATCATGTGATGCAAGCTTTTCACAAGAACAATAATTTTGTCTGTCTGGAATTAATATCTGTCCGAACAAGACCATGATCAAGTTTAGAATATGCATCATTGTCAATAATATCTTGTAAATGCTCTATGGAAATTAATTGTTGACCCATCATTAGTTGTGCTGTTGAAGATAATAAACGATTTTCTCCACTTTATAGCTAAATGTGTGAAATTCTTGTAGGCACAATAATAACTGTTGTCCTCGAAAATCATCAACCACATCTATTTTCATGACAAATGTTCCTAGTCGCTGGAGTAATTTCGTATTTGGAAGAAATGCTCATTAAACGTATTGCTCTGATATATTTGTTATCAGCATCTATTGTAAGCGAAAGAAAAAACGTATCAATACAGTCATTTCTGTTGACATGTTGAATAATATTTTGGACTTTTCCAACATAAGGAAGTTGTAATAGATTACATAATCTCAAGGTAAAAGAGCAGTAAATGTCGAATGAAAAAAAGATTTATATTCAAATTACTTTTCCTATTTTGTTGAAGAATAAGCGGTATGATATGTTTAGTTGGGTAAGTGTTGTTATCTCGAGTGCAATGTATGTTATATTTAAATGCACTCCGATTTTACCTTTGAGATGTATGGCAATACTATTAATCTCAAAATACAATTATTTGCAATTATTTACCATAACTTGAGATCTATGTTAAGTTTTTAAAACGTCTGATGATCCTTCTTTCCATGAAAATAATCATGTATCATCATTTTTTCCCTCCAAGCAATGGTTGGTCTTCAATCGGGGCTGTTTATTTTTTCTTTTATTTGATATTTACTGCGTAGGCGTCAAAAATTAGTCAGAATCTAATGTTGAGAAAGGTGTTCTTTTACCTTGAGATGATGTAATCTTTTAAAACTTCCTTATGAAAAATCCAAAATATTATTCAACATGTGATACATAAAACGAACAAAGTTTCTCACAGTTCTACAGAAAGTAACAGACGAAAAATTTATAGACAATTGTGCCAAATATTCAAATGTTTCGCTTCAGATGTTTATCATATAAACACTAGCTGTTCCGAATGAACGACAAGTAAAGTGAAGATGGACTAACTTTAGTTGAGCAGAGTGAAGTTAGTTTCCTTATACATTATTTTCATGAGTTAACTTACAAGTCTGCTCATGTCAAGATTATCACTTCATTTTGTTTCAGATATTTTAACCATTTATCCTAGATGGATTTACGTGCAAAGTTAGATGAAATAATAAAAGTGTTTTCTGATGTGCATAAATGTCTGCTTGGACCAGTTAAACAAATTGGCAATTGTTGTTTATGCGTTTTATATGTAATATTGTTGTGTGCAGCATATATCGTTATAATGGCGGCTTAGTGACTATTTTTTTACATCGTCTTCTGATCAGAGGAAGGGAAGGGCAGAGAGCAACCGATTCTTTGACGAGTTGATTGTTCATTATGCAGTGATCTGTTGGCGGTTTTATCTAATTGACCATGATGGTTTACTTTTCATTGTTAGAATACTACGAAAGAACAGGAATATGAGTTGCATGTCGTTAAAAAATAATTCCTTTGCCGTACATTTTATTCTGGTTACCCATCAACGGATTTTTTAATACAGATATATATGTTAGAGAAATGAGAAAAGTTGCTATCTACGATCAAACTGTATGTACGGTATTGAATTGTACAATTCAAACAGACACATGTTTTAAAACTACTTCGGGTGGTGGTAGACTGGCATATACGTGTTATTATGCTCAATTTAAAGTTGAATATCCACCTTTATTAAACTCTACTCAAAACGTATCATCCATTAAGGAGAAACGAGTTGCAAAGCAGAAAGTGGCTGAAGGAGATTGTCTGAAATTGAATGTAAGTGTTTTGTACGAAATGGAATTGTCCCATTAAGAGGGCTACTCCATCGATTTTCGGCTTTTATGTAAAACGTTTTGCTTTTTTCAAACTGTACTGGAAATCGATCTTTAAAAGCTCGATCCGAGATCATATAAGTCTCCATTTCTCGCATATTCAATGTACTGTTTTCTCTAGATATCGTCAAATTATACATGTTATTACAATCGACACCAAATAGCAGAAGTACAATGGGATGCTCCAGATGCAAAAGATTCTAAAATTTGGATGATTGTTGGTTGGACTATATTCATTATTGAATTGTTTTTATGTATTGGTATATGCATTATTCTTCCAATAGGTGCTGCGTGCAAAATAAAAATTCGTACCGTGAAACGTCCAGAAGTAGCAAACAATGGTGATATAAAAACGAAAAGAGAAACAACAACAAATACTCACCTTTAGTAGTATATTTTCTTCACTGTCCAGTTTCACTTATATTGTATCAGAATATCGATGGTTTGGATTCTACCGTTGGAAGCCTTTTTTGGCTTCATCAAAAAAGGGTTGTGTAAGTTTATGTTTCCATGGAGACGGCCGACTCTTCTAATCTAATTAGGTTCTTTTTCTGACTTATTGACAATACTCGACATAGAAACAGGAGTATATCATTAGATCTTTCTTACATGGTTAAGAAGGGCTCTAAAATAGCCGATTTGACATTTCGCGAACCCTCTTTCAGAGCTCTTTTTTCAATGCTTTTTCAACTACAGCTTAAAATTCATGGTTTCGGTTTCAAAGTTTCTATCCATGCATTTTTCTGATTGAAGCTTGAATTTGTAAAAAAGATTTTCAAGTTTTTTGTATAAATCATGAGATATCTCTCAATAATGTCCCTTCGCTAAGCTTATCGGTACTACCATACGGGCAGGGAAACGCTCCAAATGGAAGATAAGCTCATGTATAAACGTTAGTTATTTATGCGCTTCACCAGCCTTGCCACAAGAAAATACAAAACCAACATCCTACAATTTTATTAAGTAGCTGTTTCCGCATTTCTACCTTCTGCGTTTCATCATCCGACTTTCTCAACTACAACACTTTGTAACATACATGACAATGTATTCAGGTGCTGTGTTTAGGTGCTTTTAAAGATATGTTGGTTCTAAAGGTCTTATAAACCAGAAAAATCCCATCATCTTACAGCTAGATCTGTGCGCCGCGTCGCCGCCGCCCGTGATGCATAATCTAGATTTTCGGCGCCGCCACAGAAACAGTGCAGCTTTTGTTTCTCTTATTATTTTGATTGAAAATAAAACAAAAAATTTGGCAAAATTGACAATGGATCTTGGCTTAAAGTAAGTTTCGTATT